GAGAGAGAGAGAGAGAGAGAGAGAGAGAGAGAGAGAGAGAGAGAGAGAGAGAGAGAGAGAGAGAGAGAGATGCAGAAGGGGGTGGGGAAGAGCTCTGAACCTTTCATCCCCCATCCTTGGTGAATATCTGACGTTCAGAAGAGCTCGAGATATTTTCATCAAAATTGCATACACCCCCATGCACCGAACCTTGCCCCCCAATATGCTTGCCCTGTGTGGGACCACTTTCCGATGGCAGAAGGCGAGGGCAAGGCCCCAACCGCAGTGTGAAAAGCCGGGGGACTGGCTTCTGGCATAACTTCGCAAGGGGGTGGGTCCTGGTGATGCCACCCACCCTGGTCCTTCGGACCAACAGACCAGGGCGGCCCCTGGTCTCTTTTTGCCTTTCCGGTGCAGTTCCAATAGCCACATCAGACATTTGTGTACATGTGATCATTCACGTTAAGAAACTCACCAGCTTATTCACTCTCCCCCTCAACCTTGCACAACCACCGGAGCAGACATTTGTGTACATGCAAGCATGCACGTTCAAAAACTCACCACCTTACCTGATACCTTCCACACCCTTGCACCTGCTATGGACCCCGAGCCCCAACTTTGCCACCACCTACCCCACCCCTTTGCAGTACGGAGCAAGAAGAACAAGGTGATACCCTCCTCCTACTACAACTCATCCTCCTCATTTTTGTTCTTCTGCTTTGACTATTACTACTGGTAGTACTACTACTACTACCACCAGAACTACTACGAATCACTGATTCTACCATGATATTCTTGATGATGAATGATGCAAAAAACATGCTGCACACTGTAACTGCGTAACGTGTCAGAGCCATTGGTTTATCATAGAGACAAGTTCAGGCAAACAAAGTTTGCATGGTATGACTGGTAGTGTGTACAAGGTCCTAAGTACATATTCAGTGCTGCACACTGATCAAATATCACTAGCAATTTCAACAACTTTTGCTGCTACTACTACTACTACTACTACTACTACTACTACTACTACTACTACTACGGCTACTACTACGGCTACTATTACGACTATGACTACTACTACTACCGGTAGAGATGGTTAACTGAGACCCTAATTTTCAGCATTTTTTGGAAATGGTCACCACAGACAATTCCAATGGACAAAAACGCTTCAGAACATTGAGGAATGGTCACCACACACAATTCCAACAGTAACACAAAGGAAGTCCCAAAAAAACAAAAAGTTGGCCAAAAAAAGTTTACAAAACATGGTTTCAGCAATGAAAACAGTTTACCCCCGTTAACCACTGGTGACTACTACTACTACTACTACTATAGTTGCTCCTGCTGCAACTAATACATTTGCAATAACTTGATAATCTCCGTGATACTGATTATCATAATCATCATCATCGCCCATGCCCAGTTGGGCGATGTACATATATAACCAAGAATCCGCAATGTGATAAAAAGGACTGAATGGACAATGCAGCCCTAGTGAAATCTCAACAAGCAAGGTACATTCTGATACATACAAAATGGCGCCTTGTGGCGCAGCGGAAGACTTAGATACAAGTCCTGACCTGACCGGGACTGACCTCCCTCACGTAGTACAAGACAGCGCAGCAGAATGCTAGAATACCAATGACGACCCCAATCAATGTTGCATACATCACCTTCATCACAAGGTGTGAAGGAGGCCTGGCGCTACACACAGGAAGAATGCGCCAGGTCCTGATCATGCACAGACGAAGAGGAGGGGAACAGATGAAGAAGAGGAGGGGGGAGATGGGAAAGTCGTCAACACCAAGTCTTCGTTACAAGTCCCAAGTAATCCCTCGTCAAAATGTCTGAAGCCCAACATCGAGTCTGGATCCAAATGTCACCAAGCTCTCTCTCGTAGTCTGCTGATGCAGTGAAGTCAGATAGCAGGGTGAGAGGGAGATGGTGGACTGAGAAGAGGAAGAAGAAGAACTCTCTCTCTCTCACACGTGCCAGGTACTAACCTGTGAAGTTGGCGCTGTGCTGCAGGTACCTCGAAGACGAAGCTGGAGCTCTGGCTCTGCAGGTAAGGCTCCCTGGCCTCCGCCCAATCTCTCTCTCTCTCCAGTACTACTCTAGCTCCTACTAGCGCCCAGCGCTGAAGACTACTGCGAACGCTACTAGCGCCCAGTGCTACCACTACTCCTGCAGCGCTCCTCCAGAGTGCTGCTGCCGAATCCTGAAGACTTACCTCCTGCCTCCTGAACTGCACGTGAAGTGCCTGGGAAGTTTCTATGAACTACCTGCAGCCTGCAGGGCGGGCCAGTCCTATGTAGTGCTGGCCCGTCCAGGAGGCTGCTCTTGCCAATGCCAAAACGCGCCAGACCCTGGCATTGGAGCTCAACCAAGGGTTGTCTTGAAAACAGGCCCAAAATGGCCTGTGCTAAAACCCTGGTCTGGTGCCTGAGTTTCAGGGCAGGTCGATCTGATGAGGGCCTGAAAATGACCCTCCGTTTCAGGCTGAAAAGACTCAGGGCCAGAAAGAACCTGTTTTCGGCTGAAACGACACAGGGCCTGTAGGCCCTTGTTTTCAGGCTTTCAGGCTGAGAACGAGACAGAGCCTGTAGGCCATTGTTTTCAGGCTTTCGGGCTGAAAACAACACGGGCCTGAAAATGGCCCGTGCAGCCTGTTGCAGGCGCAGCATGTTACACGCCCCCCTCCTTATGAAGTCAAGCCGGGTCGAGGGCGAAACTGACGATCTGAAGGTGGAACCTGGACGCGGGTGCGGCGTGGAGCCGAAGATACCGGCTTGCCTTGCATCTTGCGTTCGTAGCGTGCGAGAACATCTGGAGCTGTTGCTTGGAGTTCCGCACGGGTCAACCAACGGTCAACTTTGTGAGTGCAGTACGCAAACTGTACCAAGTACTTACCAGTATCAGCCTCGGCCCGCCAGTCCGCTGCCATTGTGAGCAAAGCTCGCTCTCCGCTGAATATCTTCTCGCATCGTTGAATTCGTTCTTCATCGACAGCCTTTGTTGCTGCCTCGCCTTGCTGACGCTGCTAATCGATTGCCAACAGACGGGCCTTCTCGGCATCCTCTGCCTTCTTCTTTGCTGTGGCTGCTACTGCATCCAACCGTTGCTTGGCTTCGGTAATCAGAAGCAGCATCCGGGCCTGATAGGCCTCGTCCTTTTCCCCGGACTTCTGGTCCATGGCGGCTGTTTGCGAGCACGTGCGCATAGACCAGGCCGGGGCCTGCTGACGTGGCACTCCCTGCTGCTGACGTGGCCTGCTGACATGGCTTGCTGACGTGGCAAGCTGACGTGGTCTGCTGATGCGTCCTGCTGACCTGGCCTGCTGACGTGGTCTGCTGACGTGGCAACTTACCACTGCCGCCGCAGGGGGCACCCGGAGACCGGCAGAGAAGATAAGACCAGAGGGGGCAACATAGGTGGGGAGGGTGGGTGGGAAAAATCGCCCAGATAAGGAGCCACTAATCAAAAAGAAAAGTTTGAACTTTGCAAAAAAAAAATTGAGAAAAGAAGAGAAGAAAAAAAATACTCGTTTGCAAGTTCAGTAGGTCTCCCAAATCCCCCTGAAGTGCAAACTTACCAATGAGAAAATTTTCGAACTGTCAGACTGCAAATGATTTTCCGATAAAGAATTCCAAACAAAAGGAATAATAATAAAAAAAATATTCGGAATTACTCAGATGTGAAACAGTTTTCACCTTTGGCAGTAGCCGATGCAGATCCCAGGGGTCGATCCCTTGACCTCAGCTTACCTGTGTACAGTATCTGCACAGTTCCCTGGAGTTGAACCCGTGACCTGCACGATA